CCTGCTCCAAAACGCCTGCTTTGGCAAAGAAAGAGGACCCAGGAATAGGCAGGCTTTCAGAGGAGAAACCTGGTTTTCACAAGAACGTACAGCAACTACGGGGGTTTTGTACGGGTTTCAGGAAGTTCTTCAACCGAAAACCTGCTTTTCGACAAGTAGCAGTTGCAAAACCCGGTTTTCCCTGCCCGCCCCACATTTTTGCAGTTGCTTTTCGACAAGTAGCAGTTGCAAAACCCGGTTTTCCCTGCCCGCCCCACATTTTTGCAGGTTCTCCGACTAGCAGGAATTAGTGGCTGGTCTTTTCGTCGAGGCTCGGTACCGTACCCCTTTTGGGGTTGGCAACCGAAATCCCTTTTGGGTGTTCAAACCAAATGTAAATTCCACTTGGTCCGATTTGCGGCGAATGGCACGAGTGCATTGCGATGGGACATGGACCTTGGACTGGTTGAAGCATTTGAGCTCAGATACATCAGTGCTCCAGCCTTAACACCGAAACTGGGGACAGCTGCTTGGTTGAAATCAAGTTGGTGTTCCATTGAACCCACAAAACATCCAGCTTTTTGCAGGGCTGATGGCTGAATGCGCCGTCGCCTTTTTTTTTTTTTCCGGCCCACGAAGCACACCAGTTGTCTGGGACTTCTTTGCTTGGAACGACTTCTTTCAGGAAAACTGGTCACCTAGTTGCAACCAGTGGCGCCCTTTTTCCAAATTGTTTGCGACAATTCCCCTTTAAAGTCAACGAACAAAAAACAGGTGTTTTCCCTATGGCCACTGGGCATCGGAGGTAAGGTTCGAACTTTGGGCCGCATGGAAGTACATCAGACAAGCAGCAAGGCCTTCAATGAATCCTGGCCATGGCGTCGCTGTTGCCCGCTTTAGAGGCGGAAGTTTCTTTCGGAGGGAGCGTGGAGTGTCTTAGGCAGTCCTTTTCCCAGTTGCCCAGTGGTGCCCTTTCTTCTTTTTGTTGGGGAAAGGTTCCCCGTTAAACTCAACCAACCAAAAAAGATGCCGATTATTTTTCCTCATGGACATCCACTGGGCATCGGAGTTTTTCAGGGGATCCTCAAAATGGTAGTTTACCAGTTGATTTCCCTTTAAAACCAACCAGAAAAGGGTTCCCAGCCGGTTCCAGCAGGCAAGACGGCCAACTGGGGCCTAAGATGGCAGCCGGGCAGGGTGGGCCTAAGATGGATTTGAGGGACGGAGTTGGACATGGGGAGCCAGGTGTGACCGGCTGGGACATGGCCGATCTTCGCCCCATGTCAAAGAGCCCAGTGCCAAGGATTCCAAGGATTGTGGTTTCACTCCGGTGTTCCTTTTAAACCCCGACAAGGGAACCAAGCCTAAGAAGGAGCAGCCACGTCAAGTGGGTTTCTTCTGCAGAAGCCTTGAGAAAGGCCCATGGTTGGCCGATGGCCGTTCCGAAAGAAGTTCCCTTTCTCCTCGAAAAAGAAGCGGGGAAGGATTGGCTTTTGAATGCCTCAAAACCTGTTTAGACTCCAAAGGGAAGTCAACCGCAAAAAGAAACAAACCTGGACATTCCTTTGCATACTTTTTGTTTGGTGTTTCACGAGTTAAGGCGTTTTGGGCGATTCTGGTATTTTGTGCGGAATTTGTGCGATTGTGCGGCCTTGTGCAGGCGTTGAGCGGCCATTTCAGGGCATTTTTCACTGCCAAGGTGTTTATGGGAATTTGTGGGCGTTTTCAACTGTAAACTCAGGCAGATTCCCAGAAAACAGTATTCGTTGGAATGTCCAGGAAACTTGGCGGTTCCCAGCCGTCCACTTAGCTTGTTCGACTTTTAGACTTTTAGTGGTAGTTTCCATGAAGCCACTAAAAGCTAGTCACTTTTGGGAGGAGATCAGAAAACGGACAGCCCAGGAAACAACAAAGACACGAGCGAGCGAGCCCCGGCCATGCCCCGCGCGTGCGAGATGTCGAGGCCAAGGACGGGGAGCTCCTGCGGCCGGCGCTCGCCAAGCTGCTGAAGGTCGGCGTTTTGGGGCAAGCCGGGCCAGGAGGCCCCGGCAAGGCCCCCTGATAGATGGCCCCCCCCCCCCAAAACGAAACCACCCCTCCGCGGCCCTCCTAATACTCGGACCACTCCCCCTCCCCAAGCAGTGCAGCGCTTCCTAGTAGATGGGTGAATCGGGCAACCCCCCAGAAGCACCCCTGAGAGATGGGTGAATCGGGCAACTTGGACCACCCCCCCCGGAAGCATTTCTGTTGGTTCCTCCGCTTATGATGGGTGAATCGGGCAACTCGGACCACCCCCTGAGAAGGCCTCCCAATCTACTCGGACCATTTGCCCAGAAGCAGACGGGATAATCGGGGTTCTGGGGATCAACCATTTTACCAGGTTTTGATTATGTCTCACCTGAGTGTCAACACTTCTCAGCCGTTGCTTCCGCATCGAGCCAGGCAGAGTTGGGACAAATCGAACTGCACCAAACCGCACCTTGGGCCTGAAATCGATGTCTGCAAAATCCACTCCGATCAGCGCCAGTTGAGATGCATGACATCCTACTGGGATGAACCATACACATCAACTATTGCAGGAGTTCTCGCCAATCCACAGTATGAACTCTTTGTGAACTGGGTGGGCAATAAAAGCTTTTGTGAGCCTTTGTGTTGGCCTAGAACCAAACGTCAAAAGAGTTTGGGCGCCACGCAATGGAGTCAGTCCAGATCAAACCACAATGTGAGACACGCTCGGGCAGAACATTGGAAGGGGTCTTCTAATTGGTAAACGGGACCCGGCCCCAGATCTGACCGTGCGAGCAAGGGTCAGTCTTTCATGTATTTACTGTCTAAAGAAAACAACAAATGTGGCACTCACCAACCACTGAATCCACTCCTAGTTGATTTTTGGGGGGAGGGGTGGGTTGCAGAGTCGGAGGTAGCGAGATTCCGGAACTGGTTAGCTTAAACTCCCGGGTTGGGGGGGGGGTTGCAGTTTTCGAGGTAGGAAACAAGTTTTTTTGTGACTTCTGAGTTTGTCTTGTTCGGGCCATGTGACAGCCATGCAGAACTGGAGTGAGAATGCAAGGAAGGGATACTGTGGATCACTTTCTTGTATTGGTCTGGTCCAGGCTCTAATCATCAAACTAGTCCATTCGCTCTTTTGCTCGAAGAGTTGGCCGTGAGTAGATAGCTCCGAAATCCGCGCCAGCCTTTCTGCAGAGAAACAGTGCTCTTGATCTGGGCAGACACTGAAATCCCATGGTGAGAGGCAGTTTCCACGGGGGAAGGGCTACCTGTTGGTTGGGTCCCTGTCAGGTTGCATATTGGTTGGACAGGTAGAATTGGAGAACAAAGACCGTGGTGTCCATTTTAGGTCAGCGTCAAGCATAGATGGCACTGGCTTTAATTGGGTTGCAATCATTCATTCCCAAACAGGGTGGCCCGATCTTTTTGGTGAGTCGGCTGTCCTCGCGATCCTAGGCCGGTGAGCGATTTACCGGCGGCAAGTCGACACCCGCCCAGACCCCAAAGTTCCGCTTCGTGTGACGACTGGAGACATTGGGCAAGGGGCCCTTTTATCCTTTTTGCTGGGTTCTCCTAAGGCTGATATGTTGATATGTTAAAGCTAACTAAATCTGATATGAAACAGTATCTAAACATATATCCTTTGAATGTATTTGATATGTTGAGGTTGATTGAATATGATACAGTGAAACAGGATCTAAAAGTATGTTCTTTGGTGTACTGGGCTGGGAGTGGACCAAGTTTTGGGTGATTTACCCAGACCTGCAGCGCTTTCAGACTTTTGTTTGGGGAGGATTCCCATTAAAATCTCGGGGCTGAGGGAGAGGGAGATGGGGGGAAGCCCCTTAGCCCTCCCTCCCCAGCCCGTGAAAATTCAACAACAGAAACCACACAGGAGCCCGTTTTTCCCCATGGCCTTTGGAGGGCCTGGATCTGTGTTGCCCGTGATTTGATGTCATTCTTTGGGTGGCATGCTTGTGCGATAGGGGGGAATGTGGGAATGAACCCAAAGACCCCCTTAAAAGGAAGCAAGGGATGCTAAAAGCGTTCATTCCATTCCCTCATTCCCTACTGAGCACCAGCAAGTTGAAGGGGGGCATCTAATCCCGCCAAAATGGTGGCGACTTGGTGACCCATTTGCGGGATCGGCCAATTTGGGGGAGTCCAGCTGTTGGTCTGAGGGAGTGTACTCCATCCCATTTCCGGCCGCAACTTGCATCAAACAAGTGCAGCATGAGCATGAGAGCCCAAATGGGGCTCTGGCAAGTCCACGTGTATGTCAGGCTTGATGTCTGTTACTTAAGTGAGGCGATGGGCCCGAACATCCGCCCAATCAGTTCTTTACATGGGTAGACAAATTCTAATCCATCGTCGTTTGGGGCTGGAAAGATGTTTGGGCAACAGAAAGCTTTGAACTCACTTGCCCAAAGCGAATGGAGTTGTTCTTTTCCTGATGTGTGTGTGTGTGTGTTAAAGTCAAGGTTAAGCTTTCCTGTAGCCCCAAGCTTTAAGCTTGCCAGCCTCAATACAACCAGATACATGTGGCCATGCTGGTCAGGTTTGTTGAATGACGAAGCATCGTGACTCGAGTCCAGACTGCACCTGAAAAGTTTCAGGGTCTGGGGGGAACAAGAATGCCAACACGCGGCGCCCAAGACAGCCAAGCCACATGGATTTACGTGTCGAGAGGTCTGGAAGCTGAGCTTCGTGGCAAAGCGAGGCGGCCAAGCGATGGGCGGCCGTGGTGCCTTTCCTTGGGGCGATAAAGTAGGGAATGGGAAGTGGAATGAAGCCAGGCTTTGGTTCGTTCCCTTAAGAAAAAAACCACCAGTTGGATGGTTTATAAGGGTCATTCCATTTCTCATTCCCTGAGCACCAGCAAATCTCCTCAGTTCCCAGAACTTCCGATTGCTTTCTGAAGAAGGCTTCAACCAGTCACGTGAAGGGAAACCAACTGGTGAGGTTACCTGCCAGTTGTCTTGCTAGTTTTGGACCATTTATCACTACTGGAAGTATGTCTGGAGTCTGAGGAATCCGTGAAGGAAAACCAACAGGGAGCCCACCAAAATCAAGACCGGCCCTTCCCTGTGTGCACGGCGCAAGTCTGGTGAGGTGACCGTCCGTTTGCTAAGGAAATCTATCAGTACACGAAATACTGTGGATGTGGTAATGAAGGTCGTCATAAAAGTGTGAACGGGCGCAAATGCCGCATTTCAGTCCAGACCTGTAAAATGGAAAGCCCAGGGCAAGGTTGGCAAGGTTAGCAATCAACGGGTTGGCGCGATGAGGTGGTGTAGCTAACAAAACCAGAGTGGGGGTGAGTGGGTGGGTGGGTGGGGAGGGGATTATTTTCCCATCCACCAAATGGGGTGAAAATGGTTGGGTTGCCGCACCAATTCCGCCGGCAGGTGAGAAAGAAAAGGACGGCCGCGCTCCTTTCCATCAGTGGTGTTGGAGAAAAGACATTTGGGAACCCATCACATGTGTCAATCTGTGTCATAGTATATCAAACCACATTGATACATTGTCACCCGATGCGATGTGATAGTAGGTGTTTCATCAAACAGGGGGCCACCCCCTAATCAAAATTAACCCGGCATTCTGCTTTGTTTCATTTCCGGAAGCCAAATAATTTCTATGCTGGACGATTTTGGTGGTAGACAATAAGTTCCTGGACTTTAAGCATTGCTTGGCTCCGGACCATTTTAGTGGTAGACAACAGTTCCCGGACTATAGGCACTTTTGGGGTCTGGGCCGTTTAAGTGGCAAACAATAATTTCCCGGACTTTTGTTGGCCACTCGTTAAGTGAGGTGAGGGAATCTTGTCAGCTTCCGAAGCAAAAGCAGATGGAAGGCCACGGCCCGGTTCAAAACGTCCGACCCCGAATCGCCGAAGAGACACACTGAACCACACCGAGCAGCAATCGATTTTGTGACCGGGCAGGGTTGGTCAAATATGGTTCAAACGACCAGGTGTCCGGTCCAGTTTACAAGGAAAGCCCAACGGAGGGTGTGTTCAACATGTTTTTAGTGGTTTCCTTGCATAGGTTTCCTTGAAAGATATTTTTAAGGGTTCAACCCCCATGAAGAGGCAGGCCTTGAGACCCAAATTGGATGACAATCCTGAAGGGTAAACAATGGTGGTATGAACCCAACCATTGGTTTTCGTCGGGGGAACTGAACCTGACGGGTATCCGCAGCCCTATCCCCAAGGATACCCTTGGGATAAAGGGGGCCTCACAGGAGACGCGGCTGGTGGCCAAGTGGGTTAAGCCCACCACGGATCTGCGGCGCAGCTACGTCGAGAAGCAGACGGGGGCCCCAGGAGAGGCTTTCGTGGCTGGCGAGGTGTCAGCTTTGAATGGAAGGACTCCCAGAAACGATCCCCGATTTGGTTTCCTGTAATCCCTGGGTTTCCCTCATTCCCTGTTGAGCACCAGCAAAAGAACAACGTAATCTTAACTTCGGATTAGTCTGGAGGACCCTAACTAGTCAGAGGATATTGAACTTTGAAATAGAAAACACCTACCTTATCCAGTCCATTCACATGGAACCCACCTGAAGGTCCCTGCTCAAGGAACATAGTCTTCCAGGACCCCTCCGTCAGGTTTCATGTTAATTAGTAGACGTGATGGCAATCTTAACTTCGCATTAATTTGGAGAACCCTACGTAGTCAGAGATGGTTTCTGTAAAAGCGGAACCACCCCTAGTTGCGGTTCTCCGGATGAATCCGATGGTTACATTGCCAAGTGTTTTGGCAACCTCACATTGCAAACACTTTGGTATGACTCCTGTGTGTGTGTGAGTGCTGGGAATAGTGCGCTGCTCACACCGGTGAAATCTGCCTAAATTAGGTTTCTTTCTTCTTGGCCTGTCTTGGTATGACCTTCAACTGAATTGCTTCCTTCCTTCAAGTAGCTGTTCTTGAAGAGGGTTCCCTTTAGAAACGACTAAAGCCCCCAAACAACGTTGCCTTTTCCTTTTTTCCCCATGGGTGGGGGTTTGGGTTGGCCTTTCAACCTGGATGTTTGTGGATGTCAGACTTTGCGAGGGCGCAAGGTGATTGTAGCTTTCCCTGACCAGCAACGACTTGCACTTTCTGCATTGACCGGAATGAATCAGCCCGTCCTGCTGTTTACTAGTAGGGGGTGTTCCCCTCCAAAAGTGATGAACCCCCGCTAAAAGAGACATCCCCGATGAATCAACCAGGGATTTATTGATTCCGGGTCAACACAAATGTGTGTCATTTCTTCGTAACCTGCTTTGCTTTTGCGTGGGGGGGTTGTTGAAGGGAAGCCAAAGAAAACCTACGGGAAATCCAATGCAAAGAGGGGAACCTCACTTTCTGGGATGGCTTCAAATGGCAACCAAATGCGAAGCACTCATGTGGGGTTCCCTTTTGTGACAAATGCCGGTTTGGGAACAAAAGGGAAAGCGGGAGGAACCCTGGAATTCTGGCGCTTGCCTTGCGGACTAGAATTGAGTGATCGATATAAGAGGGATGGTTGTGGGCGGAAGATAGTCATCGAATGTAGCCATGTTGTTTGCCAGAGGAAAAACAAGTCTCAACAGTCCGAGACCACACGATTCAGCTGTGTCCCTTGGCGAAGTCGCACTGCACTTATTTTGTGCAAGACTGTCACACGCATCCAACAAGCCACGTGTTATAGCTTGAAACAGCGTCCAATGCTGCATCACAGTACCTATGCTGCCCCCTTGCTTTGCAAGTTTCTGCCCAGTCTGTTGGTGCGTGTGTGTGCGTGCGTGTGTGTGTGTGGGTGGGTGGGTGGGTGTGTGTGTATATGTGTGTTTGGGTGGGTGGTGGGTGGGCGGGTGTTTGTGTGTGTGTGTGTGTGTGTGTGTGTGTGTGTGAAGCGTCCTGGAGCACGGACGGAAATTCCACATTGCAGGGGGACCAGGCGTCTTGCTGCTGACCTGGTCTAACAAAGCTAGGCAGCAAGACGGGATACCGGAATTGGCCATTCCGGCGTACCTGCCATCCTTTCGTGACCTAATGTGTTTCCTCGGTTTACCACTGTTTGCTTCATGTTCGTTTTCGATGATGTGACATTTGCACTGCAGATTGATTTTTTCATGCCTTTTCAGTACAATCGCGTGTCTGCAAGAGCAGCCTCTCGAGATAAGTGTGTTTACCCACGGCCTGTCCGACATGGCGCTGTGGGCTGGACTCGCCACATGCGGGAGCCCCCTGCGAGGGGAAGACCGTTCATACGTTCAAATTCAACCTGCCGTTCAGCGCGCTTGACCACGATCAAGGCTGCAACTTGAGGTCTTAAGGTATTCCGCACCCAAATGGTGCTCTGCTGGTTTCATGTGCGTTGCACTGCCTGCCTTTGAAGCAAGGCTGCGCCCACGAGGTTTTAGGTTCCTAAGCTTCATGCGCCAGTGACGAGTTGGTCATACACCAACTCTGCAATTCGGGGTGTTTATGGAAGCTTTCGTCTCGGATGAGTTCAATTCAGATTCATCGGCATAGCCACATGAGGCACTTTCATGAGGCCACTTGACAGGCACCTCTGAGAACCCCTTTGTGCTCGCATGCATTTGCACCATTGACGCATTTTTGCCGCAGTTGTGGTTTTGTTTCACCCCTTTCCAACCTTCTCTCTCCCTTGCGAGATGGCTGGACACCAGCTCTATGACATGATGCATTCGCTCCTACACAACATTGCGACCGGCACCGCGTCCGGCTCACCAGGCAATTGTGGACCGAACTTGCAGCTGTCATCCCAGATGACGCAGCCCATGAACCTTGTACCGTCACCCAACTCGCAGACGGCATCCTTCACACCTTTCCCCATGATGCCCTACGGCGGCCTCTCGAACTTTGGCAACCCGATGGCCATGATGCCCTACGGTGGCCCTCCCAATTACGGCAACTTGGCACCTGGCACCATCATGCCTTTCATGACTCAGAGCAGCATGCCATCTTCACTGCCCGAGCCTCAGCCGGCGCGCGCGCCCGAAGCTGCCGCTGCGGCTCCTGCCGCTACCTCCTCAACCAACCACCCTCCCCCGGACACTCGGCACCATCCCCACTCTCGCAGATCCCGTTCCCGCCACAGACAGCACCGACACTCCCACTCCCACACCAGCCACCATCGCAGGCACAACAAGTCGCACCGACGACACGACACCCGACGATCCCGCAGCTACAGCAGGTCACGTTCCCCTTCCCGACACTTCCACCACTCCCGACGTGCACACCACTCCACTGTCTCCCTCCGCTCCCGCTCCCCCCGACACAGGTCCCACCTTCGACACTCCCCTGCACCCAGAGCCACGACTTCGCACCGACCCACTCACACTACTCATGATTCCACCTCCTGGCGCACTTCCGGGAAGGATTCCAACAAGTCTCAATGGTCCTCCTCACACTGGCGGAACCAATCGTGGGGACACCCACCACAGAACAAAAACCGCTGGGACATGCACCACCATGGCGCCAGCCACACCGGCCACCGAAACAACCAGGACAAACGATCGTCCTGGTCACTGCAGCACCATGGGCAGCAACCCCACCCCACTTCCCGCACCGGCCACCACAACACTTGCTTGCCCCCTCACCCAGCACCTGCGGCGGCCTTCACTTCCACTCCCCCTCCCCCTCCCCGACCCACGCTGGCTACTCCTCACCCTCCCCAACCCCCCTTCAACGACACCGATGATTTGGATCCCCCTCCATCGGAGGCGGACATCAATGCCACCACCACTTCCGACAACCGGTGGCTTGATCTATGGAAAAACGTCATGGACACGGCCAAGACTGACCCGCTGCGAGTTCCCACGCCTAGGGAGTTGGGGGAGCTGGACCCGCTTCCAGCCTTGGACATCTCCAGGATGGAACAGACTAAGGCCATTTTGATGAACCTGGACCCTGCTTTGCCACCTTCACATGCCGATCTCCTCGCGGAATGCTGGGAACTGCGAACCATGGACACGGATGATCCCATACCGTTCGATCCCAGCTTCTACCACCTCTTGGGACGGGAATCACACGGCATGGTGTTCGCAACCACTTGGTTTCCTCGACCTCATCCTTGGCCAGTTGCTGGCGGAGACCCGGAAGCTGGATCCGGCACGGCCTCCCATCACGCTGTCATGTATGTGCACGGCACCACCCCGGATCGAGTGCGCCGCATGTGCCATGAGAACATGATCCGACCCGCTGCTTGGAGGCCCGAGAACCATGACTACCCGAGCTTTGGATGCTACGCTCAGGCCACCCCCACGGCATGCACGCCCGACACGCTCGGCCAGCTCTTGCAGAACTTTACAATCGGAAAGTCTCAACTCGGCGCCATCGCTTTTGGGGAACTACGCTCCATCAATCAGCACAAAATCCTCGAATCCGGGGGAAGCCACGAGGATCAACATAACGTGCGGCGCCACTTCGCATGCCGCCGAGGCAAAAAGTGGTGCCTTCACTCCAAGTTTGCGATGCTGAGAGGCATCGCGCTGCAGCGCCCGGCTTAGCGGGGCGCAAATGTACCATCTTCCACCCGACCAGGAAAAGAATTGGTGCACTGTTTGATCGCCTTTTTTCTTTGCTTTGCTGTTCTGCCTTTCTGCGACCGTTCTCTCGCCTTGTGACCTTACCCGCTTGATTCCGCTCACCAGCTTTTGGTTCGAACATTTCCTTTTCCCCCGTGTTTTCTCATGGCTTTCCAACCCCCTCGAGGTTTGGTTCCGATGCTCCAAAGGCAAAACTTACCACCGCAGCCTTCGCCCACGGCATCCCATCATCATGGCATCATGTACGGCAACAACATGGCCGGAAACCCGTGCGGGGCCCTGTCCGGACCTTCCTACGGATGCTCTTCCACGACATGGACACCGCCAACTACACATCCGACTCCCTGTCAGACCTACGGCCAACCTATTCCCCATTACCCACCACACCCCGGCCCTCGTCCACCCTCCTTTGGCGGCTCTCTCCCCCCCCCTCCCGGCGGCAACCCCTTTCCCCCCCCTCCCCCCGGCCCCTTCACCCGCCCTCCACCTTTCCCCTCCCCCTCCACCGCCTCGCAATCCAAACCTCCCCCGGCCCTTCGACCCGTCCACTCAGTCCCAACACCAACCGAGTTCAACCCTGGCGACGATCACTACGACACCACCCGCGTCGCGGGGTACGACCTGCCCAAGGTCATAACGCACACCGCGTTTACTCGGCAAATGGGCATCGAGGGACAAGACATCGCTCGCGTCCCCCTCCTCCACCTCATGCACGAACAGTGGAACAGTTGGTGGTTGCGTCACCTCGCCCACGGAGGCGAAGTCCGCATCGTT